GTCCTGCGTACAACAAGAAGAAAAAAAAAAAAAAGTCCCAAGCCTAACAATACGCCTTGGCATCTATTAGTGGGAAAATTCTGCTGCTGAGATTTGTGGACACGTGTGTACATGCCTGTTTTGCAGGAAATGACATTACAGCAGTCCAAGGAAACAAACCAGAAGGACCAGCCAAGGACACTGTTTCTTGGACTAACATCTAGGGAATCAGCACATGTGGCAAAAGCTTATGTAATAAAACATCATCATCTGCTTTAATTGAATACCTTACCTATTCGTGTCCTCATTCAAAAATATACAAGTTATTCTAACCATGGAAATGAAAAAAAGTGTAGGTGGTAACCATGGAAATGAGAAAAGTACAGACAAGTAGAGGTAAGCAGAGAAGCAGGTGTTAAAGAAGAAAATGAGGCCAGACACAGTGACTCACCCCTGTGATATCAGCGCTGTGGGATGCCAGGGCAGGAGGATTGCTTGAGGCCAGGAGTTTGAGACCAACCTGGGCAACATACTGGAACCCCACCTCTATTAAAAATTGACCAGGTGCAGTGGCTCACACCTGTAATCCCAACACTTTGGTAGGCCAAGGTGGGTGGATCACCTGTGGTCAGGAGTTCGAGACCAACCTGGCCAACAGGGTGAAACCCTGTCTCTACTAAAAATACAAAAAAGTTAGTGAGGTGTGGTGGTGCATGCCTGTAATCCCAGCTACTTGGGAGGCCGAGGCAGGAGAATCACTTGAACTCAGGAGACAGAGGTTGCAGTGAGCCGAGATCACACCATTGCACTTGGTCTGATGACAAGAGTGCAATGGGTGACAAGAGCGAAACTCTGTCTCAAAAATAATAGCAATAAAAGAAAATGAAACAAAAATTCCATATGTAAATACTTCGCTAACTTTACATTTTATAGAAATCCTTGGATTTGTGCACCTATGCTAATCTGTCTAAAAATGTCACTATTTTAAAGCACTACAAATTTAGTTAATATAAAGTTGAACAAAGGAAGAGCGAAAACACAAACAACATTTCATAATGCTTTTCTGAATGTTCCCGGACCAAATCGAGGGTCAGGCTGCTTATTCTCACAGCCCAATAACGAGATGCAGATGAACTGGGAAAGGAGGGAGTTTATTTCTGTAACCGGGTACAGGGAGAAGGCCTAGAAATTATCCCCAGACCAACTCAAAATCATAGTGTTTCAGAGCTTATAGACCTTCTCAGCTATATGTCTGTGTGTAAGTGTGTATTCACCTAAACACATAAGTGATCGACTTTTTCAAATCTATAACTAAGATCTAAGTCCTGAAGACCTTCCTCTGGAGCCTCAGTAAATTTATTTAATCTAAATGGGTCCAGGTGCTGGGGTGATTACCCTTATCTTGTTTCCTGCTAAATCATGGTTTGGGGAGTTCCTTCGGACCCCAATAAAACTAGTATAATCCTAAACGGGTCGCTTCAAGACCCAGGAAAGGCCAGGGCGAAACTCCTGATGGGCATTTGCTACATTCTAGCCTTTGTATAGGGTACTGGCTCTATCGGTTTTTACTATTTAACTTCACCACTCAGTCAGTAATGAAATGGTTGTTACGGAGGCCTGCGTTAGTGAGACCTGGCCTGCCACATGAAGACTCCAAGAGAAGAAGCCATCTATTGACAAACACTTTAAAGGAGGGAAAGAGGAATCCAGTGTGATGTCAGTCACTGTGGGACTCTGGAATGATGCAGGCATAGAGGAAGCTCATCCCTGGCACTCGGCCTGGGTTCCCTAAGACCTACACAGGCCGAGCCAATCTCAGAGGACTGCCATAGACACGCCCCACCTCTGTGGTCTCAGACATGAGTCATACAGTGTGTGTAAAACAATTCAATGGGATGTATGCAGAAGACACTAGGATTTCCACGTGTAATCACTTTGTTTAAAAATATGTTTATATGGGCTGGGTGTGGTGCCTCATGTCTGTAATCCCAACACTTCGGTAGCCCAAGGCTGGAAGATCACTTGAGCTCAAAAGTTCAAGACCAGCCTGGGCAACATGGTGAGACCTTGCCTCATTTTTAAAAAAAAATACGTTTATACATATACAGAAAGAGAATACAAAATTTTTTTCTGATAAAAGTTTGGAGGCTGGGTGCGATGGCTCACACCTGTAATCCCAGCACTTTGGGGAGACCAAGGCAGGCACATCACTTGAAGCTAGGAGCTCAAGACCAGCTTGGCCAACATGGTGAAGCCCCGTCTCTACTTGAAGTACAAAAATGAGTCAGGTGTGGTGGCACACGCCTGTAATCCCAGCTACTCAGGAGGCTGAGGCACGAGAATCGCTTGAACCCAGGAGGTAAAGGCTGTAGAGAGCCGAGATCGCACCACTGCACTCCAGTCTGGGAAACAGAGTGAAACCCCGTCTCAAAAAAAAAAAAAAAAGAAGAAGAAGTTTGGAGACCACTGCTTTGATGTTCACCAAGACACTTGAAAAGTCAACTAAATTGGATGAAAGCACTGTTGGAAAAAAAAAATATACGCAGTGTACCAAACTGTCCCATACATGTTTCTGTAAGGGAATACTCAGCATTGTAAATATCTCATTTCTCCCAAACATTTCTAAACATTTTATATAATTCTAGTAAAAATTTCCATGGATTCTGTTTTGGAACTTGCTAAATGATTATAAAGTTTATCTGAGCAAATAAATATGCAGAAATTGCCAAAATACATATTGAGACGGAGTTCCGCTGTTGCCCAGGCTGGAGTGCAATGGAGTGATCTCGGCTCACCGCAACCTCTGCCTCCCGGGTTCAAGCGATTCTCCTGCCTCAGCCTCCCTAGAGTAGCTGGGATTACAGGCTTGTGCCACTACGCCCGGCTAATTTTGTATTTTTAGCAGAGACGAGGTTTCTCCATGTTGATCAGGCTGGTCTCGAACTCCTGACCTCAGGTGATCCGCCCGCCTTGGCCTCCCAAAGTGCTGGGGTTACAGGCGTGAGCCACTGCGCCCGGCAACTATCTAATTTTAAAAAAATTGTCAAGTCTCTCTCACACCATATTAAAAAGATATAATATTTTTAAATACTAGCAGAAAGAATTAAAAAAACATTTATGATCTTGAGACGGGGAAGGTTTTTCTAAGCATGATGGAAAAACCCAGAAGGCATAAAAGAAAGTTGACAATATAAAAATGGAAAATCCCTGCACAGCAAAAGACATCATACCAGATACACAATAATGAGAAAATATCTGCAGAATATATGACAACAGATTAATAAATACCCATAATCAGCCAGGTGCAGTGGCTCACGCCTATAATCCCAGCACTTTGGGAGGCCAAAGTGGGCAGACTGCTTGAGCTCAGGGGTTCAAGACCAGCCTGGGCAACATGGCAAGACCCCACCTCTACAAAAATTTTTTTTTAAATTAGCCAGGTGTGGTGGCACATGCCTGTGGTCCCAGCTACTCAGGAGGTTGAGATGGGAGGATTTCGTGAGCCCAGGAGGTTGAAGCTGCAGTGAGCTGAGATGGTGCCACTGCACTCCAGTCTGGGCAACAGAGCAAGACCCTATCTCAAAAACAAAAACAAAAATAAAAAAAACCCGATAATCTATAAATAATCCCTTCATAGCAAGATTAAATAGATGGTGAAAGAACACAAAAAGACAAATTACACAAATTAAATGCAAATAGCCAATAAACTCCTGATATATTGTCTTCACCTCACTAATAAAGAATGCACACTAGATAATCATGTATTATTTGTCACCTAAGATTGGCAAAGGTTTAAAATGCTAATTGTTGGCAAGGGCATGGAGAAATAAGTGCCATAATACCCACTGGTGGAAAAGAAAAACAACAGAATCTTTAACCTTTTTGGAATGTAGCTTGCCAATGTTTATCACAATTTAGAATATGAGTTATAGGGCTGGGCGTGATGGCTCAGGCCTGTAATCCCAGTACTTTGGGAGGCTGAGGCTGGTGGATCACTTGAGGTCAGGAGTTTGAGACCAGCCTAGCCAACATGGTAAAATCCCATCTCTACTAAAAAGACAAAAATTAGCCAGGTGTGGTGGCGGGCTCCTCTAATCCCAGCTTCTTGGGAGGCTGAGGCAGGAGAATCACTTGAAGCTGGGAGATGGAGGTTGCAGTGAGCCGAGATCGCGCCACTGCATGCCAGCCTGGGTGACAAAGCTAGACTCCACCTCAAAAAATTAAATAAAATGAACATTGTATTTCAGACAGGAAAAAGCCAGTAACACAGAAGAACTCACACCCTTGGGATCCCAAGAAAAGATCCATGGGAAGGATGTAATGAACGGTGTTAATGACTTCTGGTGCAGTGCTTCTCAAAGTGTGATGTACATATAAATGAACTGGGGGTCATCTTAAAATGCAGATTTTGGCTACACAGGTCTTGGGTAGGACCTGAGACCCGGCATTTCTCAGATGACCCCAGGTGATGCCCATGCTGCATAACCCACAGACCGCATGTTGAGTAACAAGGTTCTGCTGTGGTTCCCTAACTTTTCTGAGAACAGAATTATCTGGAAAACTTCTGTATTGGTCCATACAGCTATACATACTGCTCTGAAGAATACTGCTATAAAGAATGCCCAAGACTGGGTAATTTAAAGGAAAGTTGTTTAACTGACTCACAGTTCAGCGTGGCTGAGGAGGCCTCAGGAAACTTACAATCATGGCAGAAGGCAAAGGGGGAAGCAAGGCACTTTCTTCATAAGGAGGCCGGAAGAAGTGCTGAGCGAAGAGGCAAGAGCCCCTTATAAAACCATCACATCTCGTGAGAACTCACTATCACGAGAACAGCATGGGGGAAGCTGCCTCCATAATTCAATTACCTCCACCTGGTCTCTCCCTTGAACGGTGGGGATTATGGGAATTACAATTCAAGATGAGATTTGGGTGGGGACATAAAGCCTAACCATATGAACTTCTTAAAGATTAGTGGTCCCCTAGCCCTACAGATTCTAAATTCAGTAGGCGTGGGGTAGGACCTGACAACGTGCATTTTTTTTTTTATTATACTTTAAGTTCTAGGGTACATGTGCACAACGTGCAGGTTAGTTACATATGTATACATGTGCCATGTTGGTGTGCTGCACCCATTAACTCGTCATTTACATTAGGTATATCTCCTAATGCTATCCCTCTCCCCTCCCCCCACCTCACAATAGCCCCTGGTGTGTGACGTTCCCCTTCCTGTGTCCAAGTGTTCTCATTGTTCAATTCCCACCATGAGTGAGAAAATGCAGTGTTTGGTTTTCTGTTCTTGCGATAGTTTGCTAAGAATGATGGTTTCCGATAACGTGCATTTAACCTCCCAAGTGATGGTGACAGTGACGCTGCAGATCCCCAGACCACACTTTTGAGATGCACAGCACAAGTATTGCTGGCCCTGGCAGAGACAACCAGGGAGACCATTTAGGCTTCTAAACCTACTGCACACCAGAAGTCTTCCTCTACACCACCACTGCAGTCACAGTCCATTACTGGAGCCCATTCCTTTTACATTTCCTCTCTGGCTCCTGGCTCATATGGCCAGAAGTGTGAGCGAGGACCTACACTCATTACCCATCACCTCCATCGTTACTTTATCAGAACCAAAGACTAATTCTTAATTGGCTTATTCTCCCCAAGACTTACTCTCAGCAGTAGGTCCTACTTAGGAAAAGTCTCAAAGCTTTATCTTGCTTAGGAATGTCCTTTCATAGTATTAAAACAAGCAGCTGCTGCTGAATTCTACTTTCTTTTTAAGCGATGATGTTTCACAATGGTCACATTTCCCCCAGAGTGAAGAGAAAAAAAAAAAAAACCTATACAGTAAGAGGGAAATCCTATTTAAGGGGGACTCAATTCACCTACGTATTGATGAAGCAGACAAATGTACATAAAGTCATCTTAACATGACAGATAATAAACATACAGTCCTTGCCCTCAAGCCAGGCGACAGAAAAGCTACCAACCACCAGGTTGAAACAAGACAAATGTCATCTGAAAAAACAGCTGCATTTGTTTCTATCGAAGTCTTCCAGCAGATACCTTAATATCTTCGCACAGAATGTGTGCTCTTTACTAACAACCGACACACAAAGGAGGACGATCTCCAGCAGAGGTGACTAGGAAAGGCTTCCTGGATGGAGTAATTTAGTTTGGAGTCAGACCAATGAGCGCCTTTTCAAGGGTGGAGGTCCCAGATGGCCATTCCTTTAACAAAAATCAATTAACATGTAAAGTATATGCTGACAAATAAAACGTTTGATGGGCCCAGTGCAGTGGCTCAAGCCTGTAATCCCAACATTTTGAGAGGCTGAGGCAGGCCTGCCTCAACTCAGGAGTTTTAGACCAGACTGGGCAACACAATGAGACCCCATCTCTTCAAAAATTAAAATGAATCTCAGCTACTCAGGAGGCTGAGGAAGCAGGGTCACTTGGGTGCACGGGACTAAGGTTGCAGTGAGCTATGATCACACCACTGCACTCCAGCCTGGACGACAAAGCAAGACCCTCGTCTCTACGAAAAATTTAAAAATTAGCCGGGCATAGCAGTGCGAGCCTCTGGTCCCAGCTACTCGGGAGGCTGAGGCGGGAGGATTGCTTGAGCCCAGGAGGTCGAGGTTGCAGTGAGCCGTGATAGCACCATTGCACTCCAGCCTGGGCGACAGAGAGCCTCATCTCTAAAAAATAATTTCAAAAAAGGTTCCATTTAGTGTTTTTCGTGGTGTGACTAAGAAAGGTATCTAGAAATATAGCACAGTCACTACCTGCTCTCAAAAAGCGGCTGCCAATCTAGTTTGGAGACAGAAAAATATACCCAAGTGAGAACACAGAGGAGTCTATTTTGTGAAAAGGGGCGTCTTTGGAGACGAAAATCCCTCTCTGCGGGACGCTGACGGGCAGTCGTTAAAGGACTTCAGCGGCAATCGGGCACTGGGGCTTTGCCAAGGCTTGGAGGCGGCGCGCCAGGCCGGGCAACGCGGGAAGCGGGGCAGGCCCGAGTGGCCCTACTGCTGGCGTCCCTACCGATCCCTGCGCATCCGCCACACAGCAGGGGACGGCAGGAAGGAGGAAGGATGGGAAGTCCCGTAAATCAGGCCCTCAGGGGCTCCCAGGCCCGCACCATTCCCAAACCCCGGGGGCCACCGCAGAGCCGCTGCTCCGGGCCGTGTGGCTCGAGGCGACCCTTCCTCGGAGTCGCCGGGCCCTCCTCTCCCGAGCCGAATCTCTAGCTCTGGCCTGAGGTGACCGGCGCCGCCGAGAGCAAACACAAGATTCGCACCCCGCTCCCCACGACAGCGGCTCCGCGGCGCCGCTCAGAGTCTCCGGAACAGACCGGACTCAAGGCAGGCCAGGCAAGCGGAAGTGTGCCGCTTCCTTCCGGCCAGCGCCGCACGAGACGGGGCGGGGATCCGCGGAAGGAGGCGGAGACTCCTGTTGACGAACAGCTCCTGGGGCCTATGGGCGCGGCCGCAGCCGCCAGGCCTCTCCGGCGCGCCCCCTCCCCGGGGCTGTCGACGCCCCCCAGCCCCTCATTTCCACAAAGCTCCGCGGCGGCTCTGCCCTCCTTGTCCCCGCGGCGCGCTGCGGCCCGTGGCGCTGCCCCGCTCCCGCCTAGCCCAGTCGGCCTCCTTCCCCTCCCGGAGCCGCGCGTGAGGACCGCTGAGACCGCAGGTCTGTGGCGGCGCGCGGGGACGCGCGGGGGAGGGTCCCCCGAGAGGGCGGGCGGCCGCCGGCGGAACACACGGCTACAGCTTTGAGCCCCTCAGGCCGCCCCGCCCCGCCGCGTGGCGCATTCGGGGGGCGCGGCCGCGGCGTCGGGGCGTCGGGAGGGGCGGAGCGCGGAAGTGTCAGCCGGGACGCGGGCCGGGCTGGACTCGGGAGGGACCAAGTTTGCGGAGCGGCTTCTGCGCGACGGCAGTGCGGCGAGGCAGGGCCTGGGCTGCGACCCCCAGGGCCGCTCGCCCGAACTTCCCGGCTGCCCCTGTCCTGGGAGACCTACCTGATGGGGACGCCAGGTGTGCAGGGGCGTGGCGCGTAGGTAAGCGGACCCGGTGCCTGCCTCACCCAGGGGATGCTCACTAGAGCGCTAGGCTTTTTAATTTTTTTTTTTTTAGAGACGGGGGTCTCGCTCTCTGGCCCAGGCTGGAGTGCAGTGGCGCGATCACGGCTCACTGCAACATCGAATTCCTGGGCTCAAGCGATTCTCCCACCTCAGCCTCTGGAATAGCTGGGACCACAAGCGTGCACCACCGCACCCGCCTAATTATTTTATTTTATTTTATTTTATTTTATTTTATTTTATTTTTATTTTTATTTTATTTATTGTATAGATAGGGTCTCGCCCTGTTGCCCAGGCTGGTCTCAAACTCTTGGTCAGAAGTGATCCTCCTGCCTCAACCTCCCAAAGCGCTGGAATTAACATGAGCCGCCTTGCTCGGCCAGCACTAGTCGTCCTTATTAATAAAGAATCGAGTCTGGTCCCTTTTCAGTCGCTTACAATGGCATTCCTTTTGATCTGATGGAGGAACTTTTTGTTTCATAGTTCATGGGACTATTGCAGTGCCTGACACATAATTGGTACTTAAATATGTGTTGGTTTTCTGCCTTACCATATTAGAATATATGAATTGTTTTAAAAAGTCCTTTCCCACTTAGGGAGGACTCTAGGATGAGGTCACATGGGGGATAAGCCCATCTGTGGCTGTAGGACTTTGTTAAACACGCTCTCTGTTCCAGGTTCTCCATTTCCAGTGCTTGAAAGCGCAGTACTTAAATCTGGCTTCCTGCTTTTTTATTTTTTATTTTTGGTATGAATGAATACATGAATTGTATAATGTTAGTTGGTTTGTTCTGTAGAGCAAGTTCCCCTTAGGAATTAATAAACTGTGGAAACAATCATGTCAGGCTACTAGTCACATTTGAGAAATAATTAGTAAGAGGCTGTTCATTATTCAGAGGAGTGAAGCAAGATGTTCTGGAGGACTAGAACCTGCTTACTCACTGCCACCACTCCCCCGCCTCCCACTTACTGCTGCCAAACCAGGCTCCTGCTCCCCGCAGTTACTCCCACCGACGCTCCCTGGGATAGCAGCTGCCCTGATTGGCACACCCCCGCAGTCATCACCACTGAGGCATATTCCTGAAGCTGCCAGTGTGAATTGTTTTATAGAACACTGGTGTTAAAATTCAGGTACCTGAGACAAAACAATATTTTAGTTCTTCAAAATCCGGTTGTCAACACATTTACTATGGAGTATCTCCCACGTGGCCACTTCTGTGGGAGGTACTGAAGACCTACTACCGCCTATGGAAGTAGAAAATAATACACAACTGTGTAATTACGTGACGCATTGCATGGTAACTGCTATGGCTCAGGGAGGGAGAAGATCAGCCAGAACTGGAATGTGCCAAGATGTTCTGGAAGAACAGCGTCTTGTGTGTGTTGCTCACCTGGTTTCGTGACTCCTGGCAGGGCCTGCTGTAGAGCACATGCTTCATGAATAAATATGATTGAGTCAAATAAATATTTATGTTTTGAGTGTAGCTTTGAAGGCCAGCAACGATTTAGATGGCAAGATCAAGGGCAGGCTGGGCAGAACGGCTCATGCATGTAATCCTAGCACTTTGGGAGGCCAAGGCGGGGAGGATCGCATGAGGCCAGGAGTTCACTACCAGCCTGGGCAAGATAGGAAGACCCCATCTTTACAAAAAATAATTAGCCTGGTGTGGTAGCACATTCCTGTAGCCCAGATACTCGGGAGGCTGAGATGGGAGGATCACCTGAGCCTGGGGAAGTAGAGGCTCCAGTGAGCCATGATGATGCCACTGCACTCCAGCCTTGGTGACAGTGAGACCCTGTCTTAGGGGGAAGAAAAAAAAAGATGGGAGGGCATGCGAATCGAGGGAAAATGGCATTAGTAAAGGCATTTCAGCATGGATGAGCACGGGGTGTGTTGGGGAGAAGGTACTGACGTTGATGGCCTGTTTATTTCTGTGTAGGAGTGATTGGGAGAACAATGCATGAAAGTCTGACATCATGATGTCCATTCGGCAAAGAAGAGAAATAAGAGCCACAGAAGTTTCTGAAGACTTTCCAGCCCAAGAAGAAAATGTGAAGTTGGAAAATAAATTGCCATCTGGTAGGTGATTTAAACTAAAGCAGCGATTTGGATTGCTTTTATTTCTGCATATTAAAATGTCACTCTCCAATAGGATAAAAATTTGTTGGGACCTGACAATTAAAACTTGTTCTAGTACCCTGATGTTCTAATTGCAATTTGATTGGATTGATTTTACAGTTATGATTTGACAAAAGATGAAAGAACGTTGATTAGAAGCATTTGTCAGCTGTCTGTTCATTAACTTATGGTTCTTCCAATCTCATCCATTGACTCTAGAGTAATGGTCCCCCATCCACACCCCAGAGTTTAGTCTATCTCTAATTTTTGTGGTCGTGTATACTGTTCACACCAGGCAGCCTTACCTTGGGTGAGTTTCTCATTTCATTAAAATAGTGAACGGTGGATCAACATTTTTTTAAATTCCTTATAATTTAGTCAAATACGTGAAGTTTTCTTTTGCTTTTTTTTTTTTCTTTTATTGATGGGAAAAGTAATCAGAACTTGGTCAGTTGTTTGTATAATGGTAAAGCTTGCTAAGTGATGCATCAAATAGCATTAATTTCTGTCTTCCTGAGTAGGTTTTATAACTAAAGCATGGTCAGGATTTTAAAAGTTAACATGAAAATCTTCATACCCATTAACCATTTTGGATATCTGACAGAATTTACATTATTTACAGCCATGTTAATTCTTACCAGCCAGGCTAGTAAAGCGATCTGTAATGGGAGGTCATGCCACCTGGCTCAGCCATTAGCAAGTAATCAATGCATTTTGGATAATAGTACTTTCTGAACACCTTAAACACTGCAAAGAAAGAAAAATACACTCCCATCCTGAAACTAACACCAATGACACTGTCTTGCTGTCTAAATGTCTTATTCTGCGTATGTATACCCATAAGCATTCATATACAGTTTTGCAAGATTGGGATCTACGTGCTATTTTGTAGCTTGCTGTTTTTCTCTTACTATGTTATGAACATGTCATAAGCCAGTTAACGTATTTTTGAAATATCGAAGTAAAGTATTTTTATAGCTGCCACTGTAGAAGTGAAAGGTTTTCTTACCATTTGCTAATACAGACAGAACCGTGATCAGTTTCCTTGTGGCCATATGTTTGTTTAAAACTTTATTTCCTTGGGGCATGTCTTAGTCCATTTCTGTTGCCATAAAAGAATACTTGAGGCTGGGTGATTTATAAAGAAAAGAGGTTTATTTGCCTCAGCGTTCTGCAGACGGTACGGGAAGCATGGCACCAGCATTGGCCTCTAGTGAGACCTCAGGAAGCTTCCAATCATGGTGGAATGCCTAGGGGAGCCAGTGTATAGAGATCACATGACCAGAGTAGAAGTAATTTCCGAGGAATACAGGGTGTCAGGCTCTTTTTTAACCAACCAGCTCCCCTAGGACTAACAGAATGAGAACTCGAGAACTCGGTACTGCTAGAATCTCACCAAGCCGTTTATGAGGGATCTGGTTCCATCACCACACCACCTCCCATTAGGCCCCACCTCCAACATTGGGAATCATATTTCATCATGAGATTTGGAGGGCCAAATAGTCAAACCATAGCAGGATACTTGCCTAGATTTGGAATTACTGGCCAAATGGGATGCTCATTTTGGTGGCTTTTACTCACTGCTGCCATGTTACATTCCAGAGAGGCACCAATTTATTCTTCTATCAGCAATGTTTGAAGATGTCTATTTTTTATACCCTTACCAAAACAGAGTATTCGCATTTTGAAAGCTGTCAAATTGGCCAAGATTTTTAGAAGTATAACTCACAGTTTTGATTTGCATTTCTTTAACATTAATGAATTTGAACATCTTCAGTCTATTATTATTGGCCACTTTTTTCTATTGTACATTGCCTGTTCATGTCCTTTATCTTTTTCCTACTGCAGTATTCATCTTGACAGGACAATAAATTGTCCTGACATAAAATAAATTGTCCTGAAAGTATTCATCTTATATTAAGGGTATTTAAGCTTTCGTATATGTGCTATCCATATTTTTCCTAGTTTATATGTCCTTTAACTGGAGTTATGTTGGATTATTTATTCTGTAAGTTTTTTCCCGCCAGAGCATTCCTGCAAAACCTGTGGGTTTTAAAAAAAAGTTTTAGGTAATCGGCCAGGTGCAGTGGCTCATGCCTATAATCCCAGCACTGTGGGAGCCCGAGGCGGGTGGATCACTTGAGGTCAGGAGTTCAAGACCAGCCTGGCCAACATGGTGAAACCCTGTATCTACTAAAAATACAAAAATTAGCCAGGCATAGTGGTGTGTGCCTGTTGTCCCAGCTACTCAGGAGACTGAGGTGGGAGAATTGCTTGAACCTAGGAGGCAGAGGTTGTAGTGAACCGAGATTGCTCCACTGCATTCCATCTTGGGCAACAGAGCAAGATCCTGTCTCAAAAAAAAAAAAATATTTTTTTAGGTAATTAAGTTTTTAAAATAGCTTTTAAAGAATAAACCACCGGTTGTACCTAGATCATCTAAAAGATCGATTGCGTCCTAGGCATGTAACACATTTAGTCATCCGTTTAACAGACTTCATAGTTAAATTATGGTTGTTAAAGTGTGCCAGACAGAGGTCCTCAGTATTAAAGATGAATAAGATAATATATTTGTCTTCAAGAAGCTCACATTGTAGTTGGCAGAACGCACACATGAACAGTTGGATATGGGGCAAAAGTTGTAGTAGAATAAAACAGGTCTGTGGAATCAGAAAGGACCCTCTGTTGGAGACAGGAAAAGCTTTCCCAGTGACAGGCAGCTAGACTTAGCTTACTTGGTAATCTGAAGTAGAACTATTACATTCTAATTTTTTTGCTAACTTAGTTATTTATCTGTTCCATTTTTCCAAAAGGTTGTACCAGTAGAAGATTATGGAAGATTTTGTCATTGACAATTGGTGGAACCATTGCCCTTTGCATTGGACTTCTTACGTCTGTCTACCTTGCCACGTTACATGAAAATGATTTATGGTTTTCTAATATTAAGGTATGGAGTTTCTTTGACCATTGTATGATTCACTCAGTGGGGTCTCCAGTAGTAAGCCATGTGGATGAATGACCAAGGCAACACAGTTTTACCATAAAGAATCCAATCTCTAGAAAGGTTGAACTATAGAGTGAAAAGATTTTTGTGTTTATTATTTTAAAATAACATATCAGAATCTTTTTAAAAATATTTATTTATTTATTTATTTTTGAGGTGGAGTCTCACTCTGTCACCCAGGCTGGAGTGCAGTGACACAATCTTGGCTCACTGCAACCTCTGCCTCCCAGGTTCAGGTGATTCTTTTGGCTTAGCCTCCCGAGTAGCTGGGACTATAGGTGCGTGTCACCACATCCAGCTAATTTTTGTATTTTTACTAGAGACGGGGTTTCACCATGTTGGCCAGGCTGGTCTCGAACTCCTGACCTTGTGATCCGCCTGCCTCTGCTTCCCAGCGTGCTGGGATTACAGGCATGAGCCACCACGCCCAGCCAGAATCTTTATTTTTAATTTTTTGAGATAGGTTATTGCTTTGTCACCCAGGCTAGGATGCAGTGGTGCAAACATGGCTCACTGCAGCCTCAGCCTCCTGGGCTCAAGCGAGTATCCTGCCATTGCTTCCTGTGTCGCTGGGACCACAGGCATGCACCACCTCGCCAAGCTAATTTTTTGATTTTTTTGTAGACAGGGTCTCACTTTGTTGCCCATGCTGGTCTCAAACTCCTGGGCTCAAGTGATCCTACTGCCTCGGTATTCCAAAATATGAGAATGAGCCACAGCACCCAGCCCAGGATTTTTCTAATCAAATGAGTTTTTTCTTTTTCATTAAATTATTCTATTTATTTAGCAGTTACTCTAAATTAGTATTATTCAAGTTATAGATTGTGAAATTAGTGCAGTAGGTCATGAGTAACATTTTTCTTAATGAGATCAAAAAGAAGAGAATACTGTCACATCTAGTAGAGTTGAGGATTGTTTTGTGAAACTTTTAATTATATATATATGTGTGCACAAACTGGGTCACAGTATACAAGGTACTTCTCTTTTTTTTCTTATTGGCTACAACAGGAAAAAAACCAACCAACCAACCAACAAACAAAAAACCGAAAAAGAAATAAAAAAGCCACTGCTTTAAATCATGAGCTCCACAGAGGGTCCTCAGCATGTTCATGCCTATCTAATACTCTGTGCAAGTGGTTTTGCAGGGCATAGGGCGATGTGGAACCTATGGTATTTCCAGGGAAAGGAGCAGTAATTTTAATCCGATTTGCAAGAGGGTCAGCCGGGCATCACGCCTGTAATATCAGCACTTTGAGAGGTCGAGGTGGGTGGATCACTTGAAGTCAGGAGTTCAAGACCAGCCTGGCCAACATGGTGAAACCCCATCTCTACTAAAAACACAAATATGAGCCAGGCACGATGACATACACCTGTAATCTCAGCTGCTCAGGAGGCTGAGGCACAAGAATCACTTGAACTCGGGGGGAAGAGGTTGTGGTGAGCCGAGATCACACCACTGCACTCCAGCCCGGGTAACAGAGTGAGACTTCGTCTCAAAAAAAAAAAAAAGTTGGGAGGGTGGTCTGTGACTCTTTAAACATGTTTCCTTGTTTTCTTTTTTTCTTTTTTTTTTTTTTTTTGAGACGGAGTCTCACTCTGTCGCCCGGGCTGGAGTGCAGTGGCCGGATCTCAGCTCACTGCAAGCTCCGCCCCCGGGTTTATGCCATTCTCCTGCCTCAGCCTCCCGAGTAGCTGGGACTACAGGCGCCCGCCAACTCACCCGGCTAGTTTTTTGTATTTTTTAGTAGAGACGGGGTTTCACGGTATTAGCCAGGATGTTCTCGATCTCCTGACTTCGTGATCCACCCGTCTCGGCCTCCCAAAGTGCTGGGATTACAGGCTTGAGCCACCGCGCCCAGCCACGTTTCCTTGTTTTCTTTCTCTCTCTCTTTTTCAGCATTTCTTTTTTTTTTTTTTTTTTTGAGACGGAGTCTCGCTCTGTTGCCCAGCCCACTAGAACTCCTCTTGGCATTGTTTTCAGAACTCGTATATAACTTACATGTGGAAATTTACATCCAAATATACCTTATTTTTAAATCTAATATGTCATGCTCTTAAACTGTGGTGTCTGATGATTAGTTGCTTGTAAAGGTAAACAAACACCGTCAAAGCCAAAGATGTGTATCTGTAAGAAAGTTCAAAAGAAGTGACTGATGTAGGATCTAAAGACATTTTCCAAAGAAAGTTTTCCAAAACATTTTGAGCTTTGGTTCTCTTACTGGAATGAGCCTCCAAAGGAGATTGCTTTGATGAGAAATCTAGTTCATAAGAATAACTTCTAGTGTGTTTATTTTTAAACCTGCTGTGTTACTTTATGGGAACAGTATATATATCTTTATATAAATTATCATAGTACCAAAGAAGAATAATTCTTATCCTTCAGTGACAGTAGGTAGTTCTTCTTGTCAGAAGAATTTTACCCGTTTATCTATCTTTTTTTGGGAGGAGCTGGGGCGGACAGGGTCTTTCTTTGTCACCCAGGCTGGAGTGCAGTGGCGCAATCACAGCTCGCTGCAGCCCCAGCCTCCTGGGCTGAAGCATTACTCTGACCTCAGCCTCCCAAGTAACTGGTGCATGTCACTATTCCCAGATAATTATTTAATTTTTTGTAGAGATGGGCCTACTGTGTTGCCCAGGCTGTTCTCAAACTCCTGGACTCAAGCAATCCTCCTGCGTTGGCCTCCCAACGTGTTGGGATTGCAGGTGTGAGCCACTATGCCCTGCCTATCTCTTTAAAATGGAATGCTGGCAGGGCGTGGTGGATCACTTGAGGTCAGGAGTTTGAGACCAGCTTGGCCAACATGGTGAAACACTGTCTCTACTAAAAATACAAAAGAAATTAGCCAGGCATGGTGGCGCATGCCTGTATTTCCATCTACCCAGGAGGCTGAGGCAGGAGAATTGCTTGAACCCAGGAGGCAGAGGTTGCAGTGAACTGAGATCGTGCCACTGCACTCCAGCCTGTGTGACAGAGCAAGACTTCATTTCAAAAAAAAAGTGCTTATAAAGCGATTACCTCGAATTAAACCATGTAGTGCTTATATATTAACATAAGTATTTTGAAAAAAGACTGAAATATCCCCGTGTGAGCAGATAGCTCAAATTAAATGCTAACAACAGTGTAGCAAGGAGACATGTTGAAAGAGATCATATAACTTAATTATAAACTATTAAGTGTAGCTCTTTAATGTAAAACTTGTAACTAGCCTTGCTGGTTTCCTTAAATAAATATACCCCATCATCGAAAAATTTGAACACCCTTGGTTTTTCTCTCTTTACTTTCACTGGATTAAGGAAGTTCTAGTTTCACCTAGTATTTACTGAGCTCCTGTTCCGTGGGTAACATTGAGTTAAACACTCTGGAGAACATGGAAGGAATAACACAGATTTCTGAATTTGCCAGCAGATTTTCCAGTATAGTAAATGAATTGAGTAAGTATATATTAAGCACCTACAGTATGCCAGCAGGCACTGTGCTTAGTGGTAGCAGTATCACTGAATAAGACAAGGCCGTGCCCCCAAGGAACTTACACTCTTGAGAAGGAAACAGGTGAGTATCCAGACAATTACAGGACATCCACACTCAGTGCTAGGATGGGGTGAGATAGAGAGCACTGTGGGAGCACATAGGAGGGGGAGCCTAACCTCATTTTGGAAGATCAGGGAAGCTTTTCTAGAGGAAATGATGGTTAAATAGACCTGAAGGAGGAGTAAGAGTTAACCAGGCAAGCTGGGGAGGAAAGATGAGTGTCCTAGAAGAGGGACAAGTGCAGGAAATTGAAGAGGCAAGAGAGCCTGGTATGTGAAGCATTGCCAGTAGTTTAGCCTGGCTAGAGAGTAGAAGGGGAGAAGGGATGTACTGGGAATGGTAAACAGAGGCCAGATAATAAAGGGTCTGTCTTCTCTGTCTCGAAGATAGAACTCTCTCTGAATGTATTATAGTAGTGAGCCATATTTTTAGTGAGGCAGCGATGTCATCGTATTGGTGTTTCAGAAAGTTGCCTCAGGCTATGATGTGGAAAATGGATTTGGGGAGAGCAAAACTAAAGTCAGGAAACTGCTAAGATAATCCAGTTCAGTGGATTCAGTAATATTTATCGCATTCACATATTCAGTAAGTGAATATCTTCTGTGTGCCAGACACTTTTCTAGGCTTTGGGAATAAAACATTGAATACGACATAGAACTCGATTAGGATGAAAAGGGGAAAAATCAGAAAGAAAATGAAAATGAATCCTGTGGTGAAAGTCACACGGGATGATGAGATAGTCACTAGAAGGCTACTTGGAATAGGAAAGTAAAGCAGACCACTTTGAGGACATGTAAACCAAAACCTACATGATATTATAGAAGGAACCAGCCAAGCTAAGATCTGCGAGAACATTCTAGGCAGAGGAAACAGCAAGCCAAAAGTCTGTAAGGTAGGAATGAACTTGGCAAATCCAGGATCAGAGAGAAGGTGCATGTGGCCAGAATTTTATGAGCAATGAGGAGAAGGTACAAGAGAGGAGAAGAACAGATCACATAGGGCTTTGAGGCTGCAGAAGAGTTGCAGAGACGTGAACCGAAGTCAGAGCTTTTTAGGAAGTGGACTTGGAGGGATGTCTTGATTCATTGTGTAGAAGTTCGTTGAGAGGGAACAGTTGAGAGGGAACCTCGGTCCAAGCTGCCTGGTGTGCTTAGCAGCGGGGTGGATGGATGGACATGCCATTTACTGTGACAGTGAGCACCGGGAGGAGCAGAGCTGGAGGGTTTGAGTTCTGATACCAGCTACCCACCATTAGGCCAAACTTCACAGGATGAGAGTACAGCTCTCTACAAAAATGCCTTCGTTTCACACACCAGTGCAAGTTTGGGCCCCCCCCACCCCCAGACAACCCTCACTTCTGACCAGCTGGCTACAAATTCTGAGGTTCCCACCACCCGCTCAGGTTCAACAGTTC